GGCCAAAAAAAGAGACGGGCAAGGGAAAAAAAAAAAAAAAAAAAGATTTCAAGCTGAAGTAGCAGCTAAGCAGTCAGGTAATAGGATAAACACTTTTGGCAAAGAGAATAATATGTAGTGAGAAGAAAAATCAGGCATTTGAGGAAGTAAAAAGGAGGTAAAAAAGAAAGAAAGGAGGAAAGTGTAGCTAAAGCCAGGTGAACAGAAGAGTAGAGCGTCGAAATAAAATTACAGAAACTCAGAAGGACTACAGCAAGCACAACCTGTTCTTTATCCTAAGAGCAAAGGAAAACCATTGAAGGATTTTCAGCAGGGAAGTGACATAATGTAATGTATACCTTTAAAAGATTGTTCTGTCTATAGAAAGGATGAGAGGATTGAGCAAAGTTGGGCCAGCTGGTGGCATGGTGGTTAAGACACCTGGATAACACATGGCTGACTGCACAGTTCAAGTCCCAGACCTGGCAGCCTAGAAAAAACAGGAGGCTCATGTATATGCATGTCCAAAAGTCCAAGAGGAGAATGAGGAGAAGGGATTACAGTGTGGCCATTCCCCCTGGAGGCGATTTCTTACTTTCCCTTTCTTTTTCTCTCTCTCTCTCCGGCAAGTGCATGTGCCCTATATAACACTAAAAACATAAATGGGACAAAGGTAAGTAGGCAGACTGGTGAAACACTAAATGTAGGAGTGAGAAAGACAGGTATCAAGAATTGTGTCTGGGGAACCAGCAGTTAGCGTAATGGCTATGTCGCTGGACTCCCACGTAGTTGACTGCGGTTCGCGTCCCAGACCCAGTGGCTTAAAACTCATGCTGGGCGCGTGTTTGTGCGTGCCCAGGATCCCAAGAGGAGAATGGAGGAGAAGGGACTGCGGCGTGACCATCCTCTCTGGGGGGTGATTTCTTGCTTTCTGTCTCTCTGTCTCTCTCTGTCTGGCGAGCGCATGTGCCCTATAGCGAAAAACTGTCCAAAAAAAGAAAAAAAGAAAGAATTGTGTCTGGGCCTAGCAGATGGCATGATGGTTACATCACTGGATTCCCACGTAGTGAACCACAGTTCAGCTCCTGGACCCAGCAGCTTAAAACTCACACTGGACGCATGTGCATGCATCCCTAAAATTCCAAGAGGAGAATGGAGGAGAAGGGCTTATGTGGCCATCCCTTCTGGGGGGTGATTTTCTCACTTTCTATCTCTCTGTCTCTCTGGCAAGCGCACACACCCTATAGCAAAAGTCTCTGTTTAAAGAAAAAAAAATTACATCTGTGTATCTGATTCACACATATGGAGGACTGATGGCATTCACTGTGAAAGGAAACATTGGAGGTTCAGTTAGAGGGAGAAAGATTATTAATTTCTTTTGAACGTGTTAAATTTCAGATGACCTTATCATTTGCTTGAGTTTCTTAAGCCACTCTAACCTAGAGGCAGCTACACTCATGTGTGGTCATTTCTTGCCATCCTGTGAGCTGTATCCTGACTAATCAATTGTTTTACTTGGCAGGGAAAGGTAAAAGGAGGAGATCATCTGAAGAAGATGCTGCTGGAGAGCCCAAGGCCAAGAGACCAAAGCATAGCACAGATAACAAGGAGGTAATGGGGCTTCTTGATTAGGAGTCTCACCCTGAACCAGGCCAGAAAGAGCACTCAGATAACAAGCCCCATGAAGCATAAAGATTCCTAAGCTAAGAAGCAGAACTATTAACTTCATTGAATGTTGGCCAAGAATAGACCAACCAAGAGTAAACTTCATTGCTGTCTCCCTTTTGAGCCTTAACTTCATTCATTAAACAGCAGGTAACATGCCAAAAGAAGGCCTAGAGAAAGTTGCAGTTGTTCAGTGTGGCCGGAACATACAGACCCATGAGGACTGCTGGAGAAATGAGTCTAGAAAGATAACACATTGACCTGGACTCCTGTATTCAGATGCCTTCTTGGCATCCCCATAAAGGTGGCTGATAAGGACCTCAAAATTAGTATGGCCAAAACAGAATAAGCAATTCCTCTTCCCAAACATCTGCTCCTTTCTAAGCTTCCTCAGCTTAGTAAAGGATACCACCACCTAGGTCAGTCACCTAGGACATCACCTTTTCCTTAGCTAGAATCCTTGGAACCCACTAATCTCACAGTGAAACCTGTCAGCCCAGTTTCCAAAATTATCTCAAACCCAGCCATTTCTCACCTCTTCCACACCTGTCTCCCCGATCTGAGACACAATCATCTCTTGTCCACACTTCACCAATACTCTCCTAATGGACTTAGCAGCTAAAATGACTTCCTAAACTATCCAAACAAACAAAATATTGAATCACTGATTAGATTCCTTTAAAAGCTTCCCATTACTTTTAGAAATTCATGCTATGGACTATTATTAAATCTACATAACCTAGATCGTTACATGATCTGCAGAAGATACTGCTCCCTAACCTCAACTCTTTCCACTTTCCCTCTTGCTCACTGTGTTCCAGCAACCATCTTTCTTTCTGCTCCTCTAATATGCCAAACTCTTTCCAGTCTTCAGGGTTTTTCCCTTAACTATTCTGCTTCAGATACCTTTCCCCAGATCTTCCTGTAGTGCCTCTTTTCTTTCCCTCATTTAAATGATTAAATGCATTTTTCTTAGAGCTAAGCACTGTTGCCCACTCCTACCACAGTCTCTAGCACAGTTTCCTGTTTCGTTTTCTTCCAGAACTTACAGCTAAAATGATTTATTTTGTAATTTTTTTAAGGTTTTTGCCACAGGGCACGTGCATTCACCAAAGAGATAGAGAGAAACAAAGAGAGGGAAAGGGAGAAATCACCCCTGATGGGGGATGACCACACCACAGTCCCTTCTCTTACACTCGCCTCCTGGGATATTGGGTACACACATATATGCGTGCGCACACATACACACACACACACACACACACACACACACACACACCCTGATCAGGTCTAGACTCAAACTGTAGTCGACCATGTAGGAGTCCAATGCCTTCACTACCGTGCCATCTGCTGGCCCCCTGAAATTAAATATTATTTGTGTATGTGTTTGTGTTCCTAATAGAACATAAACTCCTTGAAGGCAATATGTTGTCACTGGTATTTGAATATTTCTTGATCAACTAAAACAGTTGAACTTTATCCTGAAGATGGGACGGGGAGATATAGATGGATTTAAAGCAGGATGTTCTAGTTTGTTCTGTTGCAAATAACATAAAGTATCTAAAACTAGGTGATTTGTAAGAATAAAGGCTTATAGCAAAAAAAAAAAAAAAAAAAAACCCAACAACAACAACAAAAAAAAGCAACTAAAAAGTAAAAAAGGACTTCTCTATGAAAAATGGGGAGAATGATATATAAAAGCAATAAGATTAGAAGCAGAAAACGAGTTATTCTTTTTATAGTAGTGTCTGCTATATTAAAAAGAAAAAGTAAAAAGTTAGAAAGTTATTATAGTAATCCAGTGGAGCCATGATTAGAGCCTAAAATGAGATAATGATGACAGAATTAAAAATAGAAAAAACTAGACAACCAATAAATATAAAGAATAGCTAGAATTCGATGATGGGATGGTAGAGGTTTCCAAATTTCTAGCCTAAGGAATTGAGTTGGTTATAGTGTAGCTGTATGAAAACACAGACCAGTTTAGGGAAACAGGTTGAGGTATCAAATAGGTGGTTGGGTCTACAAATCTGGAGCTTAATAGAAAACTTCAGGATTAAGTAAAAGACTTGGAAATTTGTTGGTAGGTAGAGTCTAGAAAGTGATAAAATTACCTGCATAGAGTGAGTAGAGTAGGGCCAGCAAATGGCATGGGAGTTAAGGTACTGGATCTCACATGACTCACTACACAGTTCAAGTCCCAGACCCAAAGACTTGAAAATCATGTTAGGTACATGCGAGTACATGCCCAAAATCTCAAGAGGACTAGAGGAGAAAGGATTACAGCATAGCCATCCCCCTAGGGGTGATTTCACGCTTCCCCCCCCCCTCTCTCTCTGGTGAGCACACACCCTATAACAGAAACAGAAAAAAAACAGGGACCAGCAGATGATGTAATAGTTACGTCACTGGACTACCACATGGCCAACTGCAGTTCAAGTCCTGGGCATGGCGGTTTTAGACTTATGCTGGCTGCATGTGCTTGCATGCCCAAAATCCCTAGAGGAGAATGTAGAAGGGGTTGCAGCTTGTCTAGCCCCTGACTCAAATTATTTCTAAAGATTCAAAAGGAAGTAATCTTCTCAAATTTATTCTATGAAAATTTCATCATCTTGATCTCTAAACCAGACAAGGACATAACAGAAAAAGAAAACTACATGCCAATATACCTGATGAATACTAATGCAAACATTTTCAACAAAGCCCTAGCAGGCCAAATTCAACAGCATATCAGAAAGATTGGGCCAGCAGGTGGCATGGTGGTGAAGACACTGGGCTCCCACATAGCCAACTGTGGTTCAAGTCCCAGACCAAGTGGCTTACTTTCTCATTTTTTCCCTCTCTCTATAGTGATACAGCAAATTTTAAATAATAATAATAAAATTAAATAATAAAAGTAAAATAAAATAAGGGAAGGTTGGAGCTGAGCTTAGAGAACCTAGTTGAAGTTGGATATTCCTCCACTTTCACAGTTAAAGATCCAACGGCCCTGTTTAGGAGAGTCTTCTTGTTGGTAGATCATATGGCAAAAGAGGGCAGAGAAGGAGCATAAATCCTGTATCTATGTGTCTTCGTCTCTCTCTTAATAAATGCTCCAGGCTAACTTCACATCCTCAAATGATTTTTTTTTTTGGAGAAGTTTTTGCTATAGGGCGCGTGCGCTCGCCAGACAGACAGAGAGAGACACAGAGACAGAAAGTGAGAAATCACTCCCCAGGGGGGATGGTCACGCTGCAATCCCTTCTCCTCCATTCTCCTCTCGGGATCTTGGGCACACACGCACACACGCCCAGCGTAAGTTTTAAGCCACCGGGTCTGGGACGCGAACCGCGGTCGACTATGTGGGAGTCCAGCAACATAGCCATTACGCTAACTGCTGGTTCCCTCAAATGATATTTTTTTAAGAGACATTTTTGCTTAGGGCATGTACGCTTACCAGAGAGCCGGAGAGAGACAGAGACAGAAAGCAAGAAATCACCCCCCGGGTGGGTGGCTATACTGCAGTCCCTTCTCCTCTAGTCCTCTCAGGATTTTGAACATGGACATACATGTGCCCAGCATGCGTTTGAAGCCACCAGGCCCAGGACTCAAACCACAGTCAGCCATGTAGGAGTCCAGCAATGTAACCATTCCACTATCTGCTGATCCCTTGAATGATTTTGCTCCAATTTAGTTTCTGTTGTATAGGAAAAGAAACAATAAATAGTTAAATCCAAGCTCCTCACCAGAAAACTCTTCATGTTTCTAAATGTTTTCCCTAATCCTTGTCCCTTCTTCAGCCCACTCCAGATGACGGGATTTATTGGCAGGCCAACCTTGACAGATTCCGCCAACACTTCCGTGACCAGGCCATCGTGAGTGCAGTAGCCAACAGAATGGACCAGGTAATATCTGCCAGTGATCATTAGGGATATTCACTTATTTGCCAGATCTGACCGTTGGCAAACAACCAGAACTGGGGGACAGCACTTGAAATCTGAATTTAAGCTTGCTTTTTAAACCTAGACAAGCAGTGAGATTGTGCGGACCATGCTCCGGATGAGTGAGATTACCACTCCCTCCAGTGCTCCCTTTACCCTGCCCTTGTCTTCCAATGAGGTGAGTCCCACGTTCTTGCGCTGGCTTCCTTCCATACTCTTGGGTGTTGTAACAGTGACTATACATTGAGTTTGGGGTTAGGTTGAGGTCTGAGTTGAAAGGAAATGTTTTTTGTTGTTTGAAGGAGGAAAATTATCTTCAAGAGGTAAGCACTGAAATGTTTCATCTCTAGAATCCAGTTTTTCAAACTTTAAACCATTCTCTTATTCAACATATCTACCTGTTAACCCATTCCTAATTGTTTTAAGAATCTGTCTAACGGACGGGGGGAGGGGGGGAATAGGTGACTTGGTGGTTGAGGTGCTGGACTCCCACATGTCAACTGCGGTTCAAATTCTAGACCCAGTGGCTTGCTTTCTCACTTTCCCTTTCTCTCTCTGGTCAAATTTTTTAAAAAAATTATAGATAATTTTTTTTTGGAGAGATTTTCGTCATAGGGCGCGTGCGCTCGCCAGAGAGACAGAAAGCGAGAAATCACCCCCAGGGGGGGATGGTCACGCCGCAATCCCTTCTCCTCCATTCTCCTCTCGGGATTCTGGGCACGCACGCACACGTGCCCGATGTGAGTTTTAAGCCACCGGGTCCGGGACGCGAACCACAGTCGACTACATGGGAGCCCAGTGGCACAGCTATTACGCTAATGGTTCCCAAAAATTATAGATAATTTTTAAAAAGAATCTTATGTACTAGGGCTGGCAAGTGGTGTGGTGCTTGAGGGTGCTAGACTCACACATGGCCAACCACAGTTCAAGTCCCAGACCTGGCGGCTTGCTTTCTCACTTTCTTTCTTTCTCTCTTGCTCTATCCCTCTCTAGTCAAATTAAAATAAATAAAGATAAATAAGATAATTCTTAAAAAAAAAAAAAAAAAAGAAAGAAAGAAAAGAAGAAGAAGAATAGAAGACTCTATCTACTATTTGCCCCAGCAACACACACTACTGAGATGCTGTGCTTCACAGGTTGGGACCTCGTGAAAGGCCTGGCTTCAGTTCCTGGTCCAACTAAAGGCCGGGTGAGGTGGCATACACCTGTCATTCCAACAATTTAGGGAGGCTGAGGCAGGAGGATCACCAGCTGAAGGACATAGCGAGTCTCTGTCTTTGTATAATAGAAAAAAAGAATCCACTATCTGGACTCTGAGAGCATTAACTTTCAAGATATAATTTGGCCCCTATATTTGCTTTTAAAAATATGTTAATTTTGTGTATATCTTCTTTTATTTTAGAATTATTTAACTTTTATTTATTATCATCATTTTTCAGTTTGACCAGAGAGAGCAAGCAGCCAGGTCTGGGACTCAGACTGCATTCGGCCATGTGGGAGTCCAGTGCCTTAACCACCACACCACCTGCCAGCCCCAATTTTGTATATTTTAAAATGTGTTTTCAAAACATCTGTTTTTTCAATACTGGTATTTAATGTATCAAATATACACACACACACACCCACACACACACACACACACACACACATGTACATATATATGTATATATACATACACACATATACACACACATATATACATATATATGTATGTGTATGTGTATACGCGCACACACATATATATACATACACACATATATACACACATACATATACACATACACACACATATATATATATATTTAGAATTATTTATTGTATTTTGGGGCCAGCAGGTGGCATGGTGGTTAAGGGTGCTGGGCTCACATGGCCAACTGTGGTGCATGTTCCAGACCTGGTAGTTTGCTTTTTCACTTTCCCTCTCTCTCTCACTCTGTCCCTCTCTAGTCAAATAAATAAATAAAGTTAAATATTTTTTTAATTATTTATTTTATTATAAGTATTATTTTTTAACTTGGTATAGTCATCAGAGAGAGAGAGAAGAGAAGTGAGAAAACAAGCTAAGTCTGGGACTCCAACCGAGGTCAGCCATGTGGAAGTCCAGCATCTTAACCACTACACCACCTGCTGGTCCCTACTTATATTTCTATTACTTTCATTATTGTATTAGGTCGTCAGGAAAGTCATGAGTATTTTTCTGTTTTACTATGCGGAAATGCATCATGACTTTCCTGACAATCCAATATTTATTTAAAATAAATATTTTTATATATTTATTGTTTATTTAAAAAATGTTTAGGGATTGTGGCATGGCCATCATCGCTAAGGGGTGATTTCTCACTTTCTCTCCCACTGTTGTCTGTCTGTCTCTCTTTCCAGTGAGCGCATGCACCTTAAGGCAAATACCTTTTAAATATAAATAAGTAAAAACTATTTAACCTATTATATAATTTTTTTTTTTTTTTTTAATTTTTGCTATTGGGCATGTATGCTCACCAGAGAGAGACCAAAAAATGAGAAATCACCCGCCCCAGGGAGGATGGCCACATAGCTCTCGCCTTTCCTCTATTCTCCTCTCAAGACTTTGGGCATTCACATACACATGCTTGGTGTGTCTTCCAAGCTGCTGGGTCTGGGACTTGAACCACACAGTTGGCCTTGTGGGATCCAGCTACCTTAACCACCAAGCCACCTGACTGGCCCTATGATGATAAAAGTAATTACATGACCTATATTCAACAGTATAAAAAATGCATACTTTTTTCTTTTTTAAATTTTTTTTGTTTATCTATTTACTTACAATCATTCACTGTATATTAATACAGTATACAACATGATATTTTCCATCCAGTATACATTGTATGTTGGCTCAATCAAGGATATTGCCATACATGTTATCATCAACAAATAATTATCTATTTCTTTGTTTCTTATTTATTTTGCTTTATTTCCCCCCCTTGATTCTCCATCTCTCACCCTCTGCTAACTCCCTCCCACTTCTCCCACACTGACTCTGGTATGTACAGTTATTTTCCGTACCTTTTTTTTTTTTTTTCACATTTTGTGGTTTCACTAAAGATCTTAATTACTTTAAAGACTTTCAATAGCAAGCACAGCTGATTTATGCATATTTATGAACACATGTCTGACTTTAGGCATAAACCTCTGAGTAAAGTGAACATACTATAAAGTAGCACCTTGCTGGGGCTATATAGCTTACTGCAGTCATTAAAAAGGTATTAATAGGTATTTTTAATGTATTTTTAATTTCAAAAATAAGTTTAGTTTTAATAAAATTTTAAAACATTAAGAGAAATTTGCTTAAAACTCAAAGCCAGGAAAAAGGTTAGGATTCAGTTCAAATAGTAGGTAGATGAACCTATCAACAGTTCAAGAGAAGACAAAAATCCTTAACTATGGAAATCAAAGCATCGAAGAAAATCAGTAATGTTTTAGTCTAAAGTCAAAAAATTATATCTCACTAGTTCAGACTCACATAATTAATTTCTCTTCTATTGAATTTGCAATGTTACTGTGGTCTGATCTTTCATTTAAACTCTGGAAGTTAACATTCAACTCTGGACCTGTCCCTACCATTAAGCTGGCTATTCTCTTGCTTGTTTCTTGTACTCTCATTTCTGTGTGTCCAACTTTGGTTTTCTTGGTACAGCACTCCCTTCAGCACTTCTTGGAGAGCTGGCCTGGTGTAGGTAAATTCTTTCAGGTTTCATTTATCTGAGAATGTTTCTGTCCTTTTTTCCCATATGAAAGATAATCTTGAGGGACCAGCAGGTGGCATGGTGGTTAAGGCGCTGGACTCCCACATGGCTGACCACGGTTCAAGTCGTGGACCTAATAGCTTGTTTTCTCTCTCCCTCTCTCTCTCTGACTCTCTCTCTCTCTGATCAAATTAAAATAAGTGAATGAATAAATAAAATAATTCTCTTAAAAAAAAAGAAAAATAGGTCTGGGTATAGTAGTCTTGGTTGAAATTGTTTTTCACTTAACACCTTGAATATATTTTACCATTCTTTCCTTGCTCATATTGTTTTCAATGAGAGGTCCGACATTATCCTTATCGGATATCCTTTGAAAGTAACTTGACATTTCTCTCTTGCCAAGTTTAGTATCTTGTCTCTGTCTGTGGTTTTGGTCAATCTGGCTATGATGTGCCTCAGGGAAAATCTTCTTAGATCGATTCTATGTGGAGTCCTTTGTATTTCTTTGGTCTTGATAGTTGAGTGCCTCTCTACATTTGGAAAGTTTTCTTCCAGGATTTTATGGGATAGATTATCAATACCCATGGGACCAGCAGTTAGCGTAATGGCTATGTCACTGGACTCCCATGTAGTCAACCGCGGTTCATGTCCCGGACCGGGTGACTTAAACTCACGCCAGGCACGTGTGCGTGCGTGTCCAAGATCCCGAGAGGAAAATGGAGGAGAAGGGATTGCGGCGTGACCATCCCCCCTGGGGGGTGATTTCTTGCTTTCTGTCTCTGTCTCTCTCTGGCTGGCTAGCGAGTGCACGCGCCCTATAGCAAAAAAACCTCTCCAAAAAAAGAAATTTACCCTTATTAGTTCTCTTCACCTTCTGGCATATCGATCCAGATGTTTGGGCATTTAATGTTATCTAGTATAACTCATATGTTATTCTCATTTTTTTGGGGTTATTTTCTCATTCTTTTTGGTGAAGTTTTCTAGGTCAGATGTTCGATCTACTTCTAAGATTTGATCCTCCGCATGATCTAATCTGCTTTTGAAATTTTCAAGGGAAGTTTTGATTTCCTATATTACAGCAATCATCTCTGACAATTCTCTTTGGTTCTTTTTTTATATGTATTTCCTCTTTCAGAGCGTTCAAAAACTTCCTCAGTTCCTGGAACTCAGTATCTGTTTTTTCCTGCATCTTTTGGAGTTCATTTTCTCTATTTTCTTGCATCTCTGTTAGCTTTGTCACTATGAATATTTTAAATTCTTTATCTGACATTTCCATGAATTCCCTTGTATTCTTTATGGGGGAAGAGGAGTTATTTTGTTCCATTAGAGGAGAGATATTTTCTTCATTTCTCATATTTCTGTGCCTTTGTGGTGGTCTCTGCTCATCTGATGGATAATACTTTTTTCCCTATTTTTTAGAGTTAAATCTGAGCAATCAGGAATGCAGAAGGAGGTGACCTGCAGTCCATAAACAGTACCATTTTTCTCCCTTTGCACAACTGATTCAGTGAAAATTGAGGATTAATCTGACCCTACAAATATTCAAATATTTTGCTACTGAGCTCCTGGAACTGTCAAGGAAATCAGTGTAGGGAGGCTGAGCATGAACAGAAAAGTGAGAAAGGTAAAAAAAGGAAAAAGAATGAAAAAAAATAAAAAAGAAGAGGAAAAAAAAGACAAAAACACCAAGAAAAAGAGAAGAAAAAAATTATTTTGACAAAAATGAAAACTGCGCTGCATGCTAGCACACTGCACCAGTGAGGCCACACGGCACTCAAAAATAGATGTCTGCCGATTGGTTTATCCTATAGGGCAGGGGGAAAGGTAAGAATTAGAAAGGCAAAAGAGCACCAGAGAGCTAAGTTTAAAAATTAAAAAAAAAAAAAAAGAAAGAAAGAAATTCAAAAGAAAGAGAGAGGTGGAAAGAGAATAAGTAGGGTGCTCTAACCTGACCCCTGGCTAGACTGGGGAGCAGGAGGGTGAAGTCTGGGCAGAGGGTCTTCAGTGGTCGAAATCTCTCAATGGGGCTGCTTGGAACTCCCACACTTTTTTGCTATAGGGCACATACACTTGCTGAAGAGACAGAGAGACAGAAAGCAAGAAATCATTCCCCGGGGGGATAGACATGCATACACAGACTCCCAGTGTGAGTTTTAAGCCACCAGGTCCAGGACTCAAACCACATTTAGACTACATTGAAGTCCAGCAACGTAACCATTACACCATCTGCTTGTCCCAAAATGCATTTTTTAGAAAGTTTTAGTTCCCTAAACTTCCAAGAGTGGTGGAAATGTTTTTTATCTTGTCGTGACTGGTAGTTTATAGATGTATACAATTTTCAACATTCATCAAACTCTGTTCTTAAGATCTTTGTTTCTTATTTTCTGTAATATGCCTCAATTTAAAATATAGCTACATCAGGTCCAGCAGGTAGCATAGTGTTTAAAGCACTAGACTCCCTCATGGCTGACTATGGTTCAGGCATGTATGCATATATGCCCAAAATCCCAAGAGGAGAATGGAGGAAAAGGAATGGCGGCATGGCCATCTCCCCATGGCGTGATTTCCCACTTTCTTTCTCTCTGTCTCTTTCTGTCTCTCTGGTGAGCATACATGCCCTATAACAAAAATCTTTCTAAAAAAATAAGAAAATAAATAAAAAATAAAGTATATCTATGTAAAGTTCTGCATAATCCTAGCATCAGAGATCCTTGTTAATAATTTGGTATGGGGACCAGCAGGTAGCTTAATGTTTATGTTGCCGGACTCCCACATAATCAACTGCGGTTCGAGTCCTAGAACTGGTGGCTTAAAACTCACACCAGCATGTGTGCGTGTGTGCCCAAGATCCAGAGAGGAGAATGGAGGAGAAGGGATTGTGGTGTGGCCACCCCCGTAGGGGGTGATTTCTTTCCTTCTTTCTCTGTCTCTCCGTCAAATGCATGCTCCCTATAGCAAAAATCTCTCTAAAAAATAAAATAATAATAATCCGGTATATGTCTTTATTCAGGCTTATTTTATACATTGTATGTGTCCAGGTATTTTTAGTTTTTAAAGTTTTTTAAAGAATCGTTTAATTTTACTTATTAGTATCATCTAATTTGCTGGAGGGCATGTGTGTTCACCAGAGAGAGACACAGAGAGAGGAAAAGTAAGAAAGCAAGCCACTAGGGACCAGCAGTTAGCGTAATGGCTATATCGCTGGACTCCCACGTAGTCGACCGTGGTTCGCGTCCCGGACCCGGTGGCTTAAACTCACGCCGTGCACGTGTGCGTGCGTGCCCCGGGTCCCAAGAGGAGAATGGAGAAAGGATTGTGGCTTGGCCATCCCCCCTGGGGGGTGATTTCTCGCTTTCTGTCTCTCTGTCTCTCTGGCAAGCTCACACGCCCTATAGCAAAAACCTCTTTAAAAAGGGGGAAAAAAAGAAAGCCACTAGGTCCGGGACTCAAACAGTATTTTACCACCTCGGAGTCTAGTGCCTTAACTACCACACCACCTGCTGGCTTCTTTATATAGTTCGTTCTTTCTTTTGTTCTGTCTGTCTGTCTTTAGAGGTTTTTGCCTTAGAGCGTATGCACTCGCTGGAGAGAGACTGGACAGTGAGAGAGAAAGTGAGAAATCACCTCCCAGTGGGATGGCCACACCATAATCCCTTCTCTATTCTTCCAGGATCTTGGGCATGCACACACACACACCCAGTGTAATTTTCAAGCCACTGGGTCCTGGACTTAAACTGCAGTCGGTTATGTGGTCATCTAGAACATAACCGCTACACCATCTGCTGGCCCCCTCTTTATACAGTTTTAACATTTTTACCAATGCATATATGTACTCACCAGAGAGAAACAAAGAGACAGAGAGAGAGAAAGACAGAAAGGAAGTACTCCCAGTGGGGCATGGTCATACCACAATCCTTTCTTCTCTGTTTTCCACCCTGTTGATATTTTGAGGACACTTACACACACCCTAGCATGTTTTCAAGCCACCAGGGCCAGGATTTGAATTGCATATTTAGCCACATTGGACCCAGTTCCCTTGTCTACCAAGCCATGGGGCTAGCCCAGGTCTATGCGTTTTTTTTTAAACCAAAAACATGGGACTATACTCAATATATGTCCCATCATTTTTCTTTTTTACAACTGTATATGTAACACTAATAGTTTTCATGTCAGTATTTTTAGGTCTTTGTCATTCTTTATAATGACTATCATATTCTACTTAAATGGATACGCTGTACTTTGATTTAATCAGTTTCTCATTTTTGAACATTTAGATTGTTTCTTGTTTTTTTTTTTTAACTCTTACAAAGTATGCTGCTGTGAATATATTTTTGGATATTTTTATACTTGGGATTTAAAATTAAAACATCCTTATTTCAGTAGTATCTAAGTTCCCAAATCCATTTTCAGTGTCTCTTTTTGTTCTTTAGATCTTTAGATCCCTTCCCGTCGGCTATAACATCTCGAAGCAAGTTCTTGATCAGTATCTTACTCTTCTGGCAGATGATCCAGTAAGTCTGCTTTTGTTTAGTTTTTCTTTATTCTGTTCTGTTTACAATTTATTTCTGCCCCTGATACCTGTTGTCATCTCCTGTGGCCTCATTTTTACCTAACCAGCTCAAGACGGTTTCCCCTCCATCATCTGAGAGAAGGGCTGCCTGCTGTAAACTCTTGGCTAGATTTGCTCCATTAGGAACAGAATCACTGGATTTCCCATTCAGTTAACACTCTGTCTCACACTCTGTCTCTTTTTTTCTTTTTGTGATAGCTGGAGTTTGTTGGAAAGTCTGGCGACAGTGGTGGAGGAATGTATGTCATCAGTATCCTTACCAGTTGTTTTCTTACAGTCAAGCAGAACTATGAAGCAGAGGAGCTGGCAGGTTGCATGGTGGTTAAAGGCTCTGGACTCCCACATGGCTGACCATGGTTCAAGTCCCAGACCTGGTGGCTTGCTTTCTCACTTTCCCTCTCTCTCTGATCAAACTGGAAAGTAATAACAATAATAATAATAAATAAAGCTAAATAAAATAATTTTTTTTAAAAAAAGAACTGTGAAGCAGAATAGCACCTTGTGAAAGAAAGGTTTGGTAATGTTTAGTGTACTAAATAAGTTAGAAAATTGAAGTAATCCTCTATGAAGTTTTCTGTAAGTGTTCAGTGAACTATTTTGGTGATAAAGAAGTAATAAGTACTTTTAATTAACCAAATTTTAGTTAGACAGAAGCCTTACTTAAGCATCCTCATTAGAGACTTGGGAATAAAAGCTATGATCACAGTGACCAGGCCGAAACATGACTGAGTGACCTTAATCCTCTGCATAAAGATCTCCATAAGGCATTAGCATCCCTAGCCACAGCCACACTGGAGTCTGTCGTACAGGAGAGGTAAGGGACCCTCTGACTGGGCTTGGGTGGATTGGGTTCAGACGTCTCCTCCACATACAGCACTTTGATCATCATATAAGCAACCAATATAGGCACGCCTTGGCACACTTTGCCCCATTTCCCCAGTGGACTGCTGTGATTCCATCTCACTGCTCTTCATCCTCAGATAAACTCCTGCTTAATTCCCAATGATGCAAACTAACCAGCTTCCCTAAAGCCTTTGCTTACGAGTGCAGGAATTATGGCACACAAATGAGTCAGCAGTTGGTGACTAATTAGTGATTAGCAGTACCATCACCAGTCTGTGGAACCATAAAGGGATTCTCTGATTGCTGGTCCTGGCTCCACACAAGTAATAGAACAACCACCATCTGTGACTAAGAGCTAACGCTGATCATCTGTGTTGGCATGCTGTGTGCATTCTTCATTTCTTTCCAGATTTGGGTCTCGCTGTGCCAGAATATTCCGCCTAGTTTTGCAAAAGAAACACCTGGAGCAAAAGCAGGTGGAAGACTTTGCCATGATTCCTGCAAAGGAAGCAAAGGATATGCTGTATAAGATGCTTTCAGAAAATTTCATGTCACTTCAGGTAACCAGTGATGTAATAATGCCAACTAGCTACGTTGGCCTAGGGTGAGAGAAACTCCTGAGGCAGACATCTTCAAGCAAACTATATCCAGCTCTGAAATAGAAAATAAGTGATTAAAAAAGACATAACAGGCACTTGAAGGATAATGTAAAGCTTTAACTGGCCTAGTAAGAAAGAATCACAGCGAAGAATCCACCTAAAGGTACCCTGTCCTATTTTCCCCTGTCATTTCTGTCCATTCCTCAGGCATGATCTGTAATAGATAATAGATTAAATCTATCAAGAACATGTACTAGGTACATGTAGAACCTGTGAGGAAGTAGCTAAATGGATTTTGGAGTCAGATCACAGCTCTGCCTCTCACCCAGTTAAATAGAGCAAATTACCTACCCTTATTTTTCCCATCTATAAAATGGTGATGGATGGTGGTAATAAGAACAATACCGTTCGTTGTAGAGATCAAATATAATCTACATAGCTCATAGAGTTTCATAGTAAATTTGAGATGCCTTTCCTGTCTCCCCCACTTGGGATGGGGGAGACAGGAAAGGCCAGATGGAAAAGCAGCAGCCCGGTCCTCTACATGGCTGACGATGCCATAGCACAGTGCTGCATGACAAGGGAGAGGGACGTTTGTGTGAGGGCGAGGGCTAAGCAGAGGTAGGACAGATTGACTTCACCAGTTCCAAAAAAACAGTATCAAGTCTCTTATTTTTCTTTCTCTGGACAAATAGGAAATTCCCAAAACACCAGACCATGCCCCATCCAGGACCTTCTACTTATACACCGTGAACGTTCTGTCAGTTGCCCGAATGTTATTGCACAGGTGCTATAAGGTAAGTCCATCTGGACCTTGTCTCCTCCCCTACACAGACCCGTCTCCCCCCTTGACCCATTTTACTGAGCTACAGTCCTTAAATACAACTGTGTACATTTCTTGTCTTCCTTCTCTTCCTCAGAGCATAGCCAACTTGATAGAAAGGAGGCAGTTTGAAACCAGAGAGAACAAGTGAGTAGTATTTTCAGTCCAGTCATTTACATATATATCTATACACACACACACACACACACACACGCACATAGGGTTGTTGGATAAATCATGACACATGTTTACACAGAAAAATACGTCATGACTTTTCCAGCAACCAAATAATATATACAAATATACACACAGGCCTTAAACCACGCAGTTGGCCATGTGGAATCCAGCTGCCTTAACCACCATGCCACCTGGCTGGCTTGTGTTTATATATATTGTTTTTTTTGGAGAGGTTTTTTCTTTTTTGCTATGGGGCGCGTGCGCTCGCCAGACGGACAGAGAGAGACAGAGAGATAGAAAGCGAGAAATCACCCCCCAGGAGGGATGGCCACACCACAATCCCTTCTCCTCCATTCTCCTCTTGGGATCTTGGGCACGCATGCACACGCGCCCGGCGTGACTCTCAAGCCACCAGGTCCGGGACACGAACCACGGTCAGTTACATGGGAGTCCAGCGACATAGCCATTATGCTAACTGCTGGTCCCATTGTGTTTATATTTTTTAAAATCAAATGTCCAAGGGGCATTTTTCCAACAGAAATGTGAACCAATAAAGACAATAGCGAGACTAATGCATAAATCATTGGCATAGATTGACATAATGTATGCATAACCTACACTTTTTTTCTAAGAGTTATTTATTTTATTTGGTGTTACTATTTATTTTTTAATTTGAACAGAGGAAGTGAGACAACAAACCACTAGGTCCAGGACTTGAATGGTGGTCGGCCATGTGGGAGTTCATGACACCTGCCGTCCCCTTAGCCTGCACTTTTCTTTTTTACCCCAATGAAATAATTTGCAGATTAAATTTATTCAAAACACACAGATGCACCAGACTTTAAGTGCAAATGAGAAGGGCAGTAAGAGTTTTAGGGATGAAGTTATATTTCCAGTTAGGTTTGTGAAAAACATCCTTAGAGGGTATTTGACCACTTTGGTCAGGAACATGGTAAAAGAGGGAGTTGTACCTTAGAGGTAAAAGATAAGTGAATCTTCAAGATGAGGGAACATGTTTCAGAGCTGCGTTTGTCTGACAGGCGTCTACTAGAAAAGTCTCAGAGGGTAGAAGCAATCATCGCATCTATGCAGGCTATGGGTGCAGAGGAGGCCCAACTACAGGAAATAGAGGAGATGATCACAGCCCCTGAACGTCAGCAGCTAGAGACCCTGAAACGTAACGTCAACAAGTAAGCCTCCTTCACTTAAGACCTGTATTTCAAAATCCCTTTCAGGCAGCCCTTCCAACTTAACATGAGCAAACCTAAATTCTTTGTCTTCCCCAGCTCAATTAACAAAATTTAATCTGTTTTCCTGAACTCCCAGTTCTGAAGAAATTCCCAGTGTCTCCATCCCTATAACACTGTTTTACCAAGTACTAGTGATTCCATTTCAGTATCGTGTCTCAATATGACTTTTCATGTCATTTGCATAGAGGCTGCCATCCCCTTTCCTGGACCCTCCCAGGGACCTCTCCCGCCAAACCATCCCTCACAGTCCTCTCAAAATCGTTATCTTTAAAGTGGCCAATAGTATCACTCTTAAAAAGTCCAAACTCCCTCCTTACAGAGCCTTTCTAAATTTCGGAGCAGCCTGCCTTCTTACTTCCTTTCACTCCTCAACACCTTAAGAACGGCATTGAATTTGTGGATTGCTTTGGGAGGTACTGCTATCTTAACAATATTAACTCTTCTAGCCTATGAACATAGGAGGTCATTCTATTTTTTTAGATCTTTAATTTTTTTCAACAATGTTTTGTCATTTTCATTGTACAAGTTTTGCACCTCTTGTTCAATTTATTCCTTTTTCTTTCTGACACTAGCTTGATTTCATTTTTGCATCATTCATTGCTAGTGTATAGAAAAGACAACCAATTTTGGGACCAGCAGTTAGCGTAATGGCTGTCTCTGGACTCCCACGTAGTCGACCGCAGTTTGTGTCCCAGACCCGGTGGCTTAACACTCACGTTGGGCACGTGCGCGTGCATGCCCAAGATCCCGAGAGGAGAACGAAGGAGAAGGGATTGCGGCGCGGCCATCCCCCCTGGGGGGGGTGATTTCTCACTTTCTGTCTCTCTGTCTGTCTGTCTTTCTGGCGAGCGCACGCACCCTATAGCAAAAACCTCTCCAAATAAATAAATAAATAAATAAATAAAAGACAAGACAACCAATTTTGTGTTTTGACTTTCTAGTAATTTTGTTGATTTTGTTTATTAGTATAGTTTTTGTGGATTCTTTGAGGATTTCTGTTTACAAGATCATGTCACTTGTGAGTAGCAATAGCATTATTTCTTCCTTTTTAATCTGGATGCCTTTCTTTTTCTTGCCTAATTTTGCAGGCTAGAGCTTCCAGTAAAAGGTTGAAAAGAAGTTCAAGAATAGATATCCTTGTCGTGTTCCTGATCTTAGAGGGAAAGCTTTCAGTCTTTCATCTTTAAATATGTTACACAGCTGTTAGCTGCAGGTCTTTCATAGATGACTTTCATCAAATTGCAGAAGTTCCTGTCTCTCCCCAATCATCACTCACTTTAAGCCTCAGCCACTCTGTTTCAATTTTAAAAGACACCAGGTCCTTTTGTACCTGCGCCTTTATAAGCGTTATTCTCTTTCTTGGTTATAGGTTAGACTGTAATTACCCCCAGGACAGAGGCGCTGTCTTTTTCATCCTCAGCGGTTTCCACAGTACAGAAGAGATGCTCAGTAAAGGGGAGAATGATCTGTTGGTTTTCCTGCATTTCCTTATATTGCTCTCAAGGGTAACCAAGCAATTCTCCATGGCCACACCCACCCCAGCCTCTAAACTTTGTGTTTTTTTTAAGGGTCATGCTCTGTCAGGATTCTCTTACCTCAGCCTCCCAGTTGGGCCTCCAGACATGAACCATCATGCTGACTTTTTTTAGAAAGGATCTTACTATATATATTATGCAGGCCAGCCTCAAACTCATGACGCCTCTGCCTCCCTGGGTTGCTGGTGTTACAGATGCATGCCACTATTCCCCGTCTTAGATTAGACTGGGAATTGGGCCAGGCCTCCCTTGTGATCCCAGCCTGCCAAAGATAGCATCTTAGCAGTGTATGCCACTGCAGATTGGGCTTATAATCTTTGTTCTTTGTGTTGTTTATAAGCCATAAAGAGACAGAGAGAGAGAGATAAAGAATCCTCCAATAGTGCATAGCTATACCACAATCTCTTCTCCATTTTTCTATTCTTTTTAGGTTTTGGGGCACACATGCACACACACCCAGCATGGTTTTTAAGCTGCCAGGTCTGAGGTTTGAACAACACAGTCAACAACACATGTGGGATCCAGCTCCCTTAACCAGCAGACCACTGGTAGCCCTGGGCCTCTGATCTTAAAAATGTTGATAAACATTCAGTCTGGGCAAATGCTTTTACTTTTTCACTCAGGTTGGATGCCAGTGAGCTCCAGGTGGATGAAACTATCTTCCTGTTGGAGTCATACATCGAGAGCACCATGAAGAGACAATGACCTAGAAGTACCTTCCTCAAAAGACCTGGGGGGATGGAGAGAAAAATAAAGGAGGTGCCTGGATACATTCTGTGTGGTGGGACAATTGCAGATTCTTGTACTGAACTTTCTGCCCAGAATACCCCTGAAAGAGTTTGACATTTTTTTCCCTCTTTTTTTTTTGCCACTGGGCCCATGTGCTCACAGGAGACACAGAAAGCAAGAAATCACGCTCCCAAAGGGGATGGCCACACCACAATCCCTTCTCCTCCATTCTCCTCTCAGGATTTTGGGCTTGCACACACATACATGCCCAGCATGAGTTTAAAGCCACTGGATCTGGGACTTGAACTGTGGTCGGCCAGTTAGGAGTCCAGCAATCTAACCATTAGACTATCTGCTGTTCCCCATTTTTTTCTCTTTTTAAGACAGAGTTGTGACACATCACCATCCTCCTGTCTCAGCATCCTGAGTAGCTGGGACCACAGGTACACGACACCATGCCCAGCTCTTTCATTTCAGACAAGGTCTTACTGTGTTGCCCAGGCCAGCTTCGAGCTCACAATCCTGCGTCAGCCTCTACAGTTCAGAGATCACAGGTGTATACCATTGTACCTAGCCATTCCTGGTATGAGATTGAACCAAGAATTAAACCCTGGTCTCCTCTGTGGTCCCAGCCTGCAAAGCATGGTGTCTTAGCACAGCACATCACTATAGCTAGGCCTGACAAATATTTTGAAGTTTCCCAATAGTGTCTTAGACTCATGATTGTATTCTCCCCTTTTCAAGTGTTGACAGAGGAGAGAGCCTTAAATCAACTAGATTCCTCATCTATTAGATGTATCAGTTCCCATCAGAAAGTCAGCCAAGCCTGTGTTTGCATCTCCCTGGCAGTAGGAATCTTCTTCCTAAGAAATTCATTCCATTTTCAAAAGTCTATGTCTGTTCTTTATTTTGTTGAGCTTTAATTTTTTTTTAACACACACATACATTGTGTAAGGAATGTGAGATTACCAAAGAAGGAAAAGTTATTTTCAGGGCTAGTAGGTGGATTAATCCAAGCAGTCACACTAGACCCTGGATAGAAGCCGTATTTGCTAGCTCCAGGCTTCTAGCACATCTGAAATTATGTATGTAGAGCACTTAGCGCAATGCCTGGCACAAAGTAAGTATGCAATAAATTAATTGCCTGCCTTTTCTCCATGGTTCCTTAAAAGTAGCAGTACAAAATTCTTGGTATCTTGGATATGATTTGTTTTTCAGCTTCAGTTAGGTGTTTTATAATCTCTTTCATCTTACCAGTGTTTGTTCTAATTCTTTTTTTTTTTTTTTTGGTAAGGTTTTTGCTATAGGGCGCGTGCCCAGAAAGACAGAGACAGAGAGACAGAAAGCGAGATATCACTCCCCGGGAGATGGCCACGCTGCAATCCCTTCTCCATTCTCCTCTCAGGATCTTGGGCACGCACGCCCATGCATCCAGTGTGAGTTAAAGCCGCCAGGTCCGGAACTCGAACAGCAGTCGACTACATGGGAGTCCAGCAACATAGCCATTACGATAACTGCTGGTCCCTCTAATTTTTCTTTAATAGCTTCATTGAGATATAGATAGATAGATAGATTTTTTTTTTTTTTTTTTTTTGCCAGAGAGCACATGTACTTGCTAGAGAGAGAACGGCAGGAAGAAGAATTAGTTGTAGCTGTGTAGTGGGGTAAGTTGAAGATTCTTATACTAAAACTGCTTCTCTATCCCTACGGCCCAGGATACCCCTGAAATAGTTTGACCTTTTTCCTTGAAGGTCTCACTGTGGGGTGATCCTCCTGCCTCAGCTTCCAAGTAGCTCTTGTACCTGTTGCCTATTACTTGCCAAGCCCTGCGCCAGGCCTTAGAGATACAAGGATGAATAAGTTTCATGCGTACAGCTTACTGTAAGGAGGCAAAGAAGTATGGGGGATCTACAGTGGAGGAGTAAATTTTTTTTTTTTTATGAGAGAGATATTTGCTATCGGACTCATGTGCTCGTCAGAGAGACAAAGTAAGAAACCACCCCCCTGGGGAGGGGATGTCCATGCCCCAACCCCTTCTCCATTCTCCTCTTGGGACTTTGGGCATGCATGCACATGAGCCCAGCATGAGTCTTAAGCTGCCAGGACCGGGAGTTGAACTGTGGTTGACTATGTGAGAGTCCAGCAACGTAACCATTATGCCATCTGCTGGTCCTGAGTAAATATTAATACTATGTATAGAGAAGCAAGAAAGGAAAAGGGCTAGGCAGGAAAGGGAGATTGGGAAGTACGTTATCTACTTTGAAAGATGAGGGTTTTCCAGATGAAAGGGAAAAAGTCCCAAAGGGGAACAGCCTGGTTCTTGGTAAAACTACAAATAGGATACGACTAAAAAATAAGACGTGGGTTCTACTGGAATTAAGCTAGAAATACAGTCAGGAGCAAGGACTAGTGAGTCCTGGTCACACTGCGCTGTCTTCCTGAGAGCAGTGGGGAGAAATATGATCAGATCAGGTTTTAGAAAAACCACTTGGGGCCAGAGGTGGCGTAGTGGTTAAGGCAGGGGCTTCTAGATGGCTGACCCAAGGTTAGCGTCTTTGACCTGAGGCCTTGAAAAATCTCACTAGGTACCTATGTGCCCAAAATTGTGAGAGGAAAATGGGAGGAGAAGGGACTTCAGAGTGGTCATCACCCCTAGGGGGTGATGTCTCACTTTCCCTCTCTTTCTCTCTTTTTTTCCTCCAGTGAGCACCTGCACACTATGGCAAAATTCTAAAAAGAAAAGCCACTCTGGCAGCATTGCAGAGAATGAACCAGTGGGGCAGGACTGTTTGAAGAACTGCGGTATAATTTCAGCAGAATATGAGGAAGGCTTGAATAAGCAAAAGAGGCTGGAGAGATGGAGACTAAGATATGGATCTGAAAAACTTGAAGGAAGTAGAATTTGAATAAGATGAAAAAAGTGAGGGGATGTCAATGTTTCTTGGGACCAGGAGATGGCATAGTGTTTACATTGCAGGACTCCCACGTATTCAACCGCAGTTCAAGTCCCGGATCCGTAGGCATAAAACTCACACTGGTCACCTGTGCGTGCATGCCCAAGATCCCAAGAAGAGAATGAAGGAGAAGGGATTGTAGCGTGGCCATCCCCACTGGGAGGTGATTTCTCGTTTTCTGTCTGGCGAGCGGACGCGCCCTATAGCAAAAATCTCTCTCAAAACAACAACAGAAAGTCTTGGGTGCCTGCGTCAGAGACTTATGTAATTAATTCCAAGTGATACCTGCTACAATGCGGGTGCAAAGTGCAGTGGAGAGGTGGTGGGAGGTGACGTGAGTCCAGAAGTCATGCGGTCTGGGGATCATTGTCCTAAACAAAACACGAAAAAAAGGGGCGCCGAAGCTTTTCTGTCGTTCGTTAATATCACACCCATGGATGTTACGCCTAAATTTCTCGAGGACATTCGGGAAACCTGGCTTCCTCCTTCCCATCCGGCGGAACGCTCCGAGGGCAGGCGCCGCTGGGCCGGCAGAGGGCGCCAGGCCAGCCCCCGCCACTCCGGAACCGCGTTATGGCCGCGGCGCGCGTGCAGCTGCTCGTGTCCGGGCGTCCCGAGTCGGTGAGCTTCGCACGGAGTGTGTGCGGCCTCCTGGGCGCTGGGCTCGGGCCTGGGCCATGGCCTACGTACTGCAGCTTGAAGCGAGGACACCTAATCCTCTCAGATCAGCCGTTTCCGGGCGCCTCGGTGACGCTTCCGCTTCAGGTCCGGGGAAGGGGGACCTAGCAGGGCGAGTGAAGGGCCGAAAGCAGGGACTGGGCCGGGTGGGAACTGGCCACGAGGGGCCTGGACCAATGGCCGGGACGAGGCTTCCTCTCCCGCCACACGGTGTCGCCCTGGCCTTGAAAGTCGTGCCCTGCTTCTGAAGCCCTAACCGGGCGGCTCCCTCCCGCCAGAGACCTCCTTTCTGCCCGTTTGCGGCCTTGGACCCGCAGCCCTGGACCACCGGAGCCGAGCTGCCCATGAATCGAAGTGTGGATCTGGGTGTGGCTATCATTCTGCAGTCCAGCGACCAGACTGTCTTGTTGACCCGGAGGACACGAACCCTCCGAGTTTCCCCCAATCTCTGGGTACCTCCAGGTGAGCATCCTGAGGACAACACCCCAAACCCAGAGAAGATTTGTGATTACCCCCACACAGCCACTGGCAGTCTCAGGATAGCGAAGTAGGCCCAGAAATGTGGCATGACAGTTACAGGGGCTGCAGCTACAGCTGTGCCCAGGGTTGGGGGAGAGGGGGGTTCCCATGGACCTCCCCATCACCATTTACCTTCTGGTTCTACTGTTGTTGCAGGTGGGCATGTGGAACCTGATGAGGAGGTACCAGTCAGCTAACCCAGCCTGTGCCCCACCTTGAGCCAATAGACCTGTGTCTGGGATTACCTTGGGTCTGGGCTGGAGGAGGGCAGACAGAAAGTCTTGGCAGAGCAAGGTATTGGCCACCCGACTTGCCCTCTCTGATTCACAGCTGCTGGACGGAGGACTCCGGGAGCTGTGGGAGGAGAGTGGACTACAGCTGCCCCAGGGCCAGTTCTCTTGGGTCCCTCTGGGATTATGGGAGGTGAGACAGGGACCTGGGGGCAGTCCCTCCTTTAACCAAGACATCTCAACAACTACCCACCCAAGTCCATAGAAGAGCCCCAACCTTGGCCACAAGGGAAATGGGGAGCATGGGTGGTTTGGAGTCCCCGAACCTGCAGCTCTCACCCATGTCCTTCATGAACCATCTCTACCATCCACTTTCTCAGCTTTTAGCCAACATGGTTTTTCACCCTAAAGTTACACTTATAGTCTCAAAAAGAGAAGAAGCTCTCACTTTTGCTGTTTTCTTCTAGTCTGCCTATCCTCCTAAGCTGACCTGGGGTCTCCCCAGGTACCATCACGTCGTTCTCTATCTACTTGTGATCTCCCAAGAATCACAGCAGCAGCTGCAGGTAGGACTGGCAGTGGAGGAAGGAAGGGCAGCCCAGGGGCCCAGGCAAGCTGGTTTCTGATGGACTGAAGGCAAATAACCAAGAACATCCAAAAGCTTCTCCCCTTTCCTCTCTCCGATCCACTTGCACGTAGGCTACAATTAAGAATAGTCCTCCTGGGGCCAGCAGGTGGCATAGTGGTTAAGGTGCTAGACTCCTACATGGCTGATGCGGTTCAAGTCCTGGACCCAGCAGCTTGAAACTGACACCAGGCATGTATAAGTGTGTGCCCAAAATCCCGAGAGAATGGAAGACAAGGGATTGTGGTGTGGCCATCCCCCTTGGAGGATTTCTCACTTTCTATCTCTCTCTCCAGTGAGTGCATGTGTCCTATAGCAAAAATCTTTACAAAAATAAATAAATGAAAGGTCTCCCAGGCCAGCCAGGAGGATCCCACATAGCCAACGCCAACTACTATTTTCTGATGAAAATCCCAGACCCAGTACCTTGGAAAACATGCCAGGCACATGTGCACAAGTGCCCAAAATCACAAGAGAATGGAGAAGGGATTGTGGTGTAGTCATCCCCCCAGAGCAGTGTTTTCTCACTTTCCTCCCTCTGGCAAGTGCATGTGCCTTGTAGCAAGTTCAAAGCAAAATAAAACAAAACAAGAGCCCTCCCTAGGTGCTGGGCAGGAGTAAAGTGCAACACCCTGCAGGGCCGACCCACCTGACCAGAAACCTTGAGTACACCAGGGACACGTGTGCCCATAATCTCAGGCTTGCTGAGGCTGGGGGTGGATCATGGTCTCAAAACCCTGTAGGGGGTAGTACCTGACACTCACTCATGGAATAAATAAATAAACGTTTTTGTTGTTGTTGTTGTTGTTTTTAAAGAAGAATAGGCCATGACTAAGGGGTCAACATGTCTCATCCTAGGCCAGGATCCAACCAAACCCAAGTGAGGTGAGCGCCTTTACATGGTTGGGTCCAGATGTAGCAGCAGCAGTGGCTTCCACAGAAGATGGGACAGAGGCTCCCAGACACCTCCCCCAGGACCTACCACCCTCTGTCCCGTAAGTAAGAGCTTTTTCCTGAGCCTCCAACACACCCACATCCGCATTGAGATAGATGTTCAGCTTCTATCCCCTCCTTAGGATGGAATTGGGTGGGGTGGGGAGATTTTAGGAGGAAGTTGGTCAGCTGCCAATCAAAGAGAGTACATGCAATCAAAACACACCATCAAGTTCCAAGGGTTTCCGCCCCAACTGGCTAGCAGTGAAGACCCAGGTTTGGTCTCAGGTCTCCCGTGGGGGCAAGTAATTTAGCCCTCCTTGAGCTTGTTTCATTTCTGTAAAATGAGGTTCCTACCCACCTCCCTTAGTGGTTGGGAGATTCGATGATCTAACAGAAATGGAAGTATTTATGAGCTTCAAGGCACAGCCCAGACAGCACTTGTCATTATGCAGTGTGGTGGAACTAGACAAGGACGGAGGAACCCGACCGCTGGCCCTGCCCGTGTCCACACTGCTACAGACAACCCCAACCACGCCAGATGACAAAGAGAGGGTCAGCACAGGCACCAAGTTTGCCCTCGGTCTCTGGCTGCAACATCTGGGCAAGAAAAGGTGAGGATTCAAGGGCTCCAAAGCACTGGGCTGAAACAGTCTAGTGTTTTTATGGGCACGTGGGGAAGGAAGAAAAAACACTATTCTTGGAAATCCTCAATGTAACATCCCTACCACGTGAGAATGGCACTTACCTGGACCCAGAGCCACCAAAGGGACACCAGAACGTGGGCCCCAAACCAGGGCCAGGAAAGCAATGTACAGTCCCCTCCCTAGCCCACCACCATGACACTCACAAGACATTCACAAACTTTATTATGGATGAGAATTTTGCTACAACTTTGGGAATAAAAAGGAATATTACAAATAGGTCTCAGGCCCTAGAGGAGCCTAATGAAAAGATTGGGAAGGAGGTCATGAGGGTGCTCCCACCTCCCAGGAAAGGTGCAGAACGGCCAGGCCTAACCACAGGGCCATGGACCCTTAGAAGCTTAGGCCCTAGGCTGGTCAGCGCTAAGAAACACTGTGAATTTAAATACATAAATAGCGACCCAGGCAATAGGGCAGGCCCTGCTCCCAGAAACGCTAGGGATCATGCTAAGGCCTTATCTTTGCCTCAGTCACACTAGGAAGGAGGAGGCAGGGGAAGTCCTCTTTGGAGTATTTTCGTTTTTCTTGTTTATGTACAAAAAATCTGCAACCCAAAATAGAGTTCTCTGTCTTGGAAACTGCCTGTTTCAGTTTCTCCACCTGTCTGTGACCACACGGAATGGAATGGATATGAAGATAATGACCGTCAGGAGAGGGCATCGGGGCCCTTCCCCATGAGGCTACAGACAGTCAAGGCTGAGAACTCAGCCCCTCCCCCAACTCACATCCCCTCCTAGTCGCTTCCCATTGCTTAGGTTAACATACCCAGGGGATTGTGTCCCCTCATCTAAGGAACACTGCCAAAAATAAACCCCAATGTCCTTAAAAACAGGTTAAATATTAACCCTTTGTGTGCTGGCCTTAGGCAGAGATGAGGCCGCAGGTAGGTATCCAGGAAGGTCTATCTGGCCTTTGGCCAAAGCCCTTGAGGGGTCTGTGACTGGGAGCTGGGGCTCCGCAGCACACTTGCTCAGCGCTGGGGCCAGCAAAGGGTCCATGATCCAAGGAACTCAGTCCAGGGAAATGATGTCTGACCGACAGCCAGTCAAAGAAGGGCCCGAGGGCAGGGGTCCTCCATGCCCCTCCCTCAAGGCTCCCCCAGGGGCCACAATGCTGCTGACACGGCCAGGGGGCGGTGCTGGAGTGGAGCTGCGGTGAGAGCTCCCCAACGTGGGGGCCAGTGGGCCCAGAAAGTGGGAAGGGGTCCCCCGGTACTGGAAGAAGTGGCCAAGGGCATCCTGTTCATCTAGCGAGGTGATGACGGAGGGACCATAGTGCTGGGAGGGATCAAGGGCACAGTAAGACTTTATCCTGACCTGCCCGCTTCCCCGTCACGGTCTCAGAAATCACCTGTGGGGTGAACTAGCCCAAGAAGCAGGGGAGCCCCTCTCTGACTTCTTCCCCTACTCCCCACACCCTAACCCTTTCCCTGCCCAGCTGGCTAGGGAATCTGTGGGCATCTGAAATGCGTGGAATATCCAGTCACTGGAGCTCTAAGTGTGCACGGGTGTGTGGGGAAGTAGGAAGGGCTGGGACAGTAATGGGGACCTAGGCAGACACAGGTGGGAATCGGAAGAAGTACCAGTGGGGGCAGAGAGAAATAAGCTGCCTACACCGCACCCCCCCTCACAGAAAAGCAGATTTAGGAGCCTAGGGAAAAAGAGAGAGGGAGGGGTCCCATTAGTTCCTAGAAAGGAAGCTTCAGAGATCTGAGATCTTCATGGAAGAAGGGACCACTTACCTGACTTTCAGTCTGAAGGAAAGAAAATAAATCTAAACCTGGTAGGAAAAGAAGAAAAAAAAAAAAAAATCAACCTCTTATCTGACCTCTTTACCACCAAAAGACCAATTCCTTAGACTGTGATCCCTTGCAGGACCACAGAAAGCTTTGCAAAGGCACAGGAGTTCAGGGGAAAGTGGTTCTGAGGAGGGGTGATAGGGCCCAGGGCCCCACGTAATGATCAGGGAGGGTCATACCTTGGATGTCAGCTCCCAGTGGAAAGGCAGGTGGGTATTCGTGTAG